GGGGTGTAGGCGGAGCCTGCAGGACTGACAGCCTCTCTGGGGGAACCAGGCAGGCTGTCTGCACCACGGATCTGAAATTCCTGCCACACTTTCACAACAGGCAATGCCCAACTCATGCCACTACAGACCCCCTACAAAATTAAGCAAATGTGCTGTGCTTATCGATATATATAAAAGACTAATATGCAAAGCACCCCCTCAGGAGATCGACCCGGCACCAGGAGTTCCATCGCTCGCTATGATGTGTTCTGACCACCAAGGGGCAATGCAGCCGGTAGGCCCCGATCGGCCTTGATCACCAGCCAGGCCTGGGGACCCTACCCATACATGAATTTGTGTACCAGACCCCTAGTTCCTGAATAAAACCTGAACTCCTGCCTGGCAGGCATGGGTCAGTGGTCAACCATCGACCCATGGACCAGGAGGTCATGTTTCGATTCCCCGTCAGGGCACATGCCTGGGTCGCATACTCGATCCTCAGTAGGGAGCCTGCAGGAAGCAGCCAATCAATGATTCTTATCACTGATGTTTCTATCTCCCTTTCTCTCCCTCTATCTTCCTCTCTGAAAGCTATACACACACACACACACACACACACGTACATACATACTAGGGGCCCAGTGCACGAATTCGTGCACATTGAAAGGAACTGTGGGCCACGAGGCTGTGGTGGGCACAGGGGCAGGTCTCGGCCTATCCTCCATAGCCCCACCCGGCCCCTTCTGCTACCGCCCCCAGTCCCCTCTCTGCTGGCAACCCGCTCCTGCTGCTGCTGCTCCCACGCACTGACGGTGACAGCCCCGCTCATACCTGCTGATGGTGCGAGCAGGGGGAGGTGGAGAAGCCCTCAGGGGCGATTGGGGCTGCAGCCACCGCTCGCACCCACTGACGGCGGTGAGCGATCAGGACCGGCACTGGGCATGAGCGGCGGCTCCAGAGACAGCTGTGGGTACGAGCGGCATCTCTGGTGCCGGCAGTGGGTGCGAGAGGCGACTCCAGTGCTGGCAGTGGGTGTGAGAGGCGGCTGCCTGCCCCAATCACCCCTCAGGAGCAGAGGCTAGTGGAGAAGCCCGAGGGGCGATTGGGGCCGGCAGCCACTGCTGGCACCTGCTGATGGCGCAAGCGATTGGGGCCAGTGCTGGGCGCTGATAGTGGGTGCGAGTGGCGGTTCTGGTAGTGGGTGCTTGCAGGGCTGGTGCCAGCAGCAGGTGCAAGCACCAGGCAGGACCATGGCACGTGGGAGCAAAGAATTTTCAGTAACCACCAGAGGCTCGCCCCGATGACAGCAACCAGTGCCCTGCCTTGGTCTGGCGCCCCCGCTCACCTGCTCTACCATCTCGCCGTGGTCTATGCCCGCCATGTTCCCCGCTCCTCCCTCTGCTGCCAACACCTGCCATGTTCTGCACGCGCCCCCTGGTGGTCAGTGTATGTCTTAGCAAACAGTTGTTCTGTCGTTTGGTCTATTTGCATATTAGGGTTTTATATATATAGATATAAAAAGAGAAAGGACTGCTAGAGCAACCACCAGGAGGGGCCATGGGTGCCACACCAGAGCCACAGGGGGACCAGACAATGCTGACCATCTCCACACCCAAGACACTCAAAGTTTAAAAGCAAGAAGAGCTGTGTGGCTCAGTTAGTTGAGCCTCGTCCCATGCACCAAAAGGTTGCCAGTTCGATTCCCAGTCAGGGTGCATGCCCAGGTTGCAGGTTCCACCCCCAGTCGGGCGAGTGTAGGAGGCAGCCAATTGGCGTTTTTCTCTTTCTTTCTCTCCCTTCCTCTCTCTCTCAAATTAATAAAAACATATTTTTTTAAATGCAAGAAGAAACAGCACAAACATTAAGAGCTGCTCTCCTGAACATTCAAAGCTCCCTTCATGCCCAAGAAAGCAAAAGGAACAAGAAAACCGGGAGGGAAATCCTAACAGGTGAGCAAGGACCGTAATAGAGAGAGTTCACACCATAGCAGTTATGAAAGAAAGTGCGTAAGACTCCGATAGATAAATGTGTAAAATACCCAAACAGTTAACAGACCAAAAGGGAAATATAAGTGCTTAGCCAAAATGTGGGAAAATATTGATCTCGCAAGTCGTCAAAATTTCATATTAAAAGAACAAGTTGTCATTTTAAGAGGGCATATTTGGTAGTATGTATTTATTTTTAATTTTTTAAAAGACACTCTATCCTCTGAGCCAAACCAGCCAGGGCTATAAATTTTTAAAAATATATATATTTTTATTGATTTCAAAGAAGATAGAGGGAGAGACAGAAACATCAATGATGAGAGAATCATGATCAGCTGCCTCCTGCATGCCCCACACTGGAGATTGAGCCCACAACCTGGGCATGTGCCCTGACCAGGAATTGAATCGTGACCTCCTGGTTCACAGGTGATGCGCAACCATTGAACCATGCCGGCCGAGCCAAATTTGGTGGTATTAAAAAAATACCACTTAGGAAAATGGGCAGATTCTTACAAGCTAACCATATTTACCAACTATTTGCCCCCTGCTAGGTACTTACCCCAAAGAAATGAAGCCTGTGCCTTCCACACACGGGTACCCACATGTCCCTGAAAGCTTTATTCATAACAGCCCCAAACTGGGAACCAGGAGGGAGGGACACATGAAACATGACACAGCCACTAGAGGGACGATCACGGGCAATAAAAGCAAACCACTGACCAACCACACAACAGATAAGTCTCGCACTCGTCCTGCTGCGCGAGGGGAGTCACACCAAAGGCTGCACCCTGTAAGGTCACAGTCACGTGATGGTTCAGCAAAGACAAAACTATAGTGACAAAAGCAATGGCAGTTTCTGGTTGTGGTGGTGGCTTCACAGGTTCACGCAGCCATCAAACTAGATTCTAATATAAAGTGGGTAAAACACTGTAATTATGGAAGCTGGCAAGGGTGCACTGAGCTGGGGACTCTCATATGTACGAGAGAACAAAAATCATTATATTCTTTGTGAAAATCAAATGAGCACTCTCCTATTTCTAGGACTCTGCCTTATAGAACAGAAATAAAACAGACAAAAATAAAGCCTCATGCACGACATTCCTGTGCTGTAATGACAGCACCGCAAGGTGGGTTCCACTGCGGGTTCTGGGGACCTTCTGCCTGGTCCTTCCCAGGTCTCTGTCGGGGGAGGGGGGGGGGCTTGCTCAGACGAGGTCACTGGGTCCCAAACTTCCCAATGTCTCGGGTGCAGGAACTGTTGTGAATAAACACACGAGGGGGGACTGGACCCTGGGGAGCCTGTGAAATCAGTGCCGTCTCTCTCCCACAGGTAAACCCTGGACCCCGAATCCTTCTCCAAGGCCTGACCAGCAAGAAGTCCCCTGGGTGTCAGCCCTGGGAGCTGCCATGCCAGCAGAGAGCTCCCTAATCTCCAGATGCTCCCTGCCCCTGTCTCCCTGACATCTGGCCTCGGGACAGTGGCTTTTCCTGGCCCCCGAGTCCAGTGGATGCACTTAGAGGAGATGCGGTCAGTCCGGACGCCGAGACAGTCGCTTGGGCAGCACCACGGACAGCTCCACGCCGCAGGCCTGCCTTCCCTGCTGGCCTGGGTCCCAGAGAAGCAGCCTTGATTACAGTCCCTTCTCATTCCTGGTGGTCCTGTTCTATAAAGTAGCCACAAAGGCTGCACTAGCAAACACCAAAC